TCTGGACACTTAGTGGAAATTTCCATTGTCGGGTGTACAGTACAAATACCGAGACAAGTAATAAAAGCAATCAATTTCTGTTTCCCATTCCATTCTTTATTTACAAAACTAGAAATTCGCAAAGGACGCCTAAACTCTTCCTTGCTTACCGAAATCGGGAAAGTTCTTCCCTATTCACATCTAACAGATCTTTGTCTTGACGACACATTTGTGCCGCAAGGCAACTACTACGTTTTACTCGATAAGAGTTCTCATTTGAAGCAGTTGTCACTCAGCAGGTGCAGCATCACGGACGACATTTGCAGAGAAATTTTTACAAGAATCAAATATCGTTGCCCAGCTGAAAAATCTTTGAAAATACTGAATTTAAACGGAAACCGTATAACGGATATTGGGGCTACTTTCGTAGGCGACACGTTACGAGACAATCGAAATTTATTACATCTTAATTTAGCTGGAAATGAAATAACAGATAATGGTTTGGCTATAATTTTAAAGCACCTGTCAGCATTTCCTCTTACTATTGATGAAATAATAAATAGCAAGAGAAGATATCTAGAGTATTGCAAAAATAAAACAGATATTTATAACAAATTGTTAGAGGAAGTTGTTGAAACGCAAAGGACAGATGATTTGCTAAGAAGTCGCTTAGATCAACTTAAGAGACAAACTAAATTTAAAGATAAGAAGAGAGAAGAGCGAAAGAAATCTGTAGTAGAACTTGAGTATCCGACTATCAAAGCTGAGAAAATGACGATGGACATTGTTGGAGAATTTATAGATCCATTCGATAGTGCCAATACCATTAAAATAAACAATTACTTGCATTCTATTGGTAATCTCAGGTTCTGCTCATTGAATGTTTCCCACAATAAATTAGGATTAGTTTCGTTGTTGATGATTCTTAGAGTATTGCGCTATCAAAGCGATTTGGATATGAAATCGCCGAATACAGGTTTGATGCGTCTGGTATTGGAAGGTAATTTACTTCCCCAATCATGTCCGGAGCTAAAAAATATAAACACGTGTCTGTCAAAAATTGTTCAAAACCGAGCATCTGTACCGCATTCTCAGCATTTGAAGGCAAGATCTATGAACGCTGCAAGACGTTTCTAACGCTTAAATGAATAATATCTAACATTACATAGGTAGTTCAGACACCAATACTGAAATACGTATGAGGAATTCAATTTTAAGTTATGGATCGGTATGGTAAATCTGACAGAAGATATGAGTATGCATAAGAACGCGATGGATTATTCATCGCATCGGGTGTACAACGCAAAGTTTAATTTACCAGTTTTAACGTTCCGCGACCGACGATATGCGGTCCATCTTCGATCATTTACGCACCTACTTTAGGTATCGTAAGGGAGATTATTTGTTTTGGTGGTTGATTGGAATGAGCATTAGTAAGTTCTTACCTTTATTAATTTTATTATTATTCTGTTTATTGCAAACATAGTACCTTTTTTATTTCCAAGGATATGTGTATTCGTCGTAAGTCTGTAAAGAATTATTGTTACTGTTTTTAAGGTCTGCGTGACCTAAGTATGTGCGGTATAGCTAGTTTTATGAAAGATAATTTTCAATTGAGAATTTTATGTTGTGATCTTTATGGAAATAGAAATGAATTATTTTCAATTAAAAGTGTATTACATATTTTTTGTATGTGTGAGAAATTTTTTGTTTCTTAGGTTTCAGAAATATTTTCATAAATGCACCCGTGAAAAAAAAATGATTTCTCTCTAGTTTTTTAACTTTAAGAAAAAACTAATAAACTAACTATAAAACTGAATCTACTATTTTATTTAGTAGTAAATAATCTGAAGAAATCTTGAACATCCAAATATCTGCGAGATATATTTTAATAATTTAGTGGTTAGAGTCCTTATTGCGTAAGGTCATTAGATCGAATCCCATCTCTTTTACCTAGGGCTGGTGAATTTTTTAATCATCGACTTAACCATATAAAAACATAAAAAAGCATCAATATACTTTAATCCGTATAGAATTGTAAATACTTTACTCATTGTTTTATTGTCTTTGTAAAACCATATTTGGTGATTTCGATATATTTTTTATTTTAATAAAACATTTGAAGAAGCATTTTTATACGATTTTTACATTTTTTTTTTCTATACAATTATGTCGGTACGCTCTGTGAGATCTACTAAATTTGGTGAAACTGGCTCGGAAACATTTCCAGGATGTAATCTTGATTTTGAAGCTGCTTTGTGTGATGCGTGTATGAAATACAATTGTCCGTATACAGTATACGTGAAAAAAGTAAATCAGCAAGGTAAACGATATCTCTCTAATTATAAAATTTCGTAACGCACTTACTAGTGAATGAGTTGACGTAAAACTAACACTCACTGCTGAGCCGAGCTTAATCCACTGCCTTTTTTTATTCTTCGTTGAAATACTAGAAGCTCAATCCCTAACGCCTGGCGAGCAACTCACCCCCTCACCTGTGTGTGGAACTCTCATCGGTCACCGGAGACTTACCTACCAAAACCTCTTCAGTGTATCTTCCGCTGGGGGATGAAACTTGGGGAGCTATTATCGAGTTGCGCCACGCTACACAAACGTATTGTGACGACCTCTGTGGTCGAGTGGTTAAGAAATCGGTTAAACCTCTGACATTTAAACCAACTCCTGAACCACTAATTCATTTCTAGATTGGGTCAACGAAGTAAATGAATTTATCAATTTTAATCAATTTGTGATGCAGTCTTGAATTCTATTTTTATAATACATACAATAAATGTCGTTTCCCGTTGCACAAATGTCCATTAAAATTTACATTAGCTTAATTAAAGCTATATTAACAGATAATTTTTTTCTAAATTCAGAACATTTATTAGTCGTCACAAATCTTAGCGGACGGTTGTGTAACTGGGTGTTTTATGCGTTTTTGATTTATTGCAATTAAAGAATTTCGGCTGCTTCTAATTTCTTTACTTAGAATTATTTGTCACACTTTTTTATTTTAACAACTAGGTCCGGAGTTTTGTATAAATATTTGTTAAACATTTGTAAATCCAATTTTTTGTAGTAAGTTATTCTCGTAACAACACTTTAAAACTTTTTTCCAGATGAATTTCTGAAGAGATTGAAGTCGCCCGAACCTTCGGTCAAATATAAAAAAATAACTGTCATGCCTCGCGCAGTTTCCCATTTGGATTTTAAATCTGAAGAAAAAGTTTTATCTGCTGTATCAGTTAAATCAAATACAAACGTAACCTCAGATATCCTAATTATAACAGCAGTGTATGATAATGTACAAAATTTAGTTGAAATAACACTGAACAAAATAAGACATGTCCCGCGAGCTCTCATGCAGATCATGAATTACTTATTCTCTCCCCACGAGCATCTAACGAAGTTAACATTTAATTATTGCTCCATTGACGCTTATGTCATGCATGAACTCAATAAGATTATCACCCTCTCCACGATTACAGATATAAATTTCGATAGAACTATTCTGCCCAACGAATTCTTGAGTGATTTGCTTAACAACAGAAATGCTAGCATCAAATATCTGTCTTTGTGCGGCTGTGAAATTAATGATGAAATATGTAGAGACATTGCTACCACGCTACGCTTTACAAACCACGCCGAGAAAATGTTGACGGTTTTAAATCTATCGAGCAACCGCATAACCGACGAAGGTGCGAAACATTTAGGCGAAGCTCTCAGAACTAATAGACATTTGCGGTATTTAAATCTGGCGGATAACCACATACACGATGAGGGAACTATCTCTATATTAAATTCGTTAATGGAATACCCTTTGACGAATGATGAAGTTAGAGATAAGCGGAGAAGAATTATAGAGTATTTGACAATGAAAACTTTGCTTTTCAAAAATATTTCCGAAGATCGTGACGCAATATCTTATAATAAATTAAACAGCTTTAGTCGCAAACCAATAATCAAGAAAAAGAAGACATCTGCGACCTCCTTGCGTAACAAAGTGAATAATAAAAATGATAATATACGAAAAGAGAACGGAAAACTTGATATACTCAAAGAAAGTGAAATACAAGCAAAATTTATAGCGAATGAATTGACGAGTCCATTTTTAGACCCATTTTCGCCGCAGAATACCAAAGTCATTGCAGGCCAATGTTATTGTCTAGGAAATATTGTATTATGTTATTTGAATTTATCATATAATAAATTAATGTATCCTAGCCTAAAGAAAATAGTGTCTGTAATGCAGTACCAAAGGATGGTTAAGAAATTTAACCAGACCGGTTTGATAAAGGTCGTGATAGAAGGAAATACCCTTCCGACACAATGTGATGAATATCAGATAATTAATAACTTAACACGGATCGGAAAAAGCATGGTTCCATTCAGCGGCGGCAAAATATCAGACTCTTCCCTAAGGAAAAAGCGACCTACGTTAATAATTAGAAAATAAAAAAACACTCTTATTGCTCATAGAGTTAATTTTATTGAAATATATAAAATATATTTACATCACATCTTCATATAGATGTTACTAGAAAAATCAATCAATAATAAGAGTCTATTTACAAATACGGTTTTGGTAACTTGCAGTATTTCATCACAATCATTATTTTTCTTAAATGTTATTTTTTATAAATGAAAGCAATTAAAATAAGTCGATACATAAAGATTTTCTTAAAAGTAATGAATCAAATTTAAGAACATTATTGATTTACTAACATCTAATATAACGAAATACAGCTATCGTAAAATTAAATAGCCGAATTTCTATATTAATCATTTAATAACTAAAAATTTTGTTATAAACAGATCAAACTGCTTTTGCAGCACCATCAAATTCGTTTGTCAACTTAATAATTCTACTGGCTGAAACAAACGCATTAGCAAAGTATTTCTTGAAGAAACGGCAGAAGTTTCTTCGGATACTTTTTTCTATTAGTAACTATTCTAATTAGGTAACCTAAGTCTTCAATACTGGTCTTTGACAATAAAAAATCATCATAACATTATTTTTATTGATTTCTTGGAGGGAGGTATTCTCTGTTTGGTTTAGAAGCACCTTGGGGTCTGCTCAAACCAGAGGGAAAGCTTGGACCATTTGGTTTACCTGAAGGATAGCCTTGATTTCCTCCTGTTCCTGAACCAGGATAATTTGTTGTACCCTGTGATCCTGGATATGTTTGTGATCCAGTGCTACTTGGGTAAGATGAAGTAGGACTTTGTGGCCTAGAATTGTTTGGATATGATGATGGGCCTTGAGTTCCGGCACTACTAGGGTAAGATGAAGGGCTTTGAGATCCTGCACTACTAGGGTAGGAAGATGGACCTTGTGGCCTGGATGTTCCCGGATATGCCGCAGATGGGTTTTGAGATCCGGAACTTCCTGGATATGAAGGTAATGGTCCTACGCTTCCTTGATACAATCCAGAGGGTTCTTGAGGTCTAGAACTACCGAAGTTCCCAGAAGATGGACCTGGCGAGCCACTTAGTCCGGGATAAGATCCTGTTGATTCCTGGGGTCCTGTAGTTCCTGGATAATTTCCAGAAGATCCTTGCTGTCCAGGGTATGAAGAAGATCCTTGTGTGCCCTGGGTAAAATCGTTAGAAGCTAGCAAACCACCTTGTGAGGGTTTGGACGTAGATAAATCGTAGAGATTAGCGTTTAATTCATACAAACTTGGAGCTGAATTGCAATCAAATTGGTTCCACCAGACACAAACGAAAACTTGTTGGGAAAAGATAGTGCCATTAGGACAAAGGAAGTCGTATGTTCTATTATTTGCGCAAACGTGGAACACTTGACAACGGGTTTCGACGTCAGCGTAATAACCAGGATATTGTTGATCATCACATTTGAATGACGTTTGTGGGATTTCCGAAATGATAGGGTAGTCCACATCAGGTTGACCGGGAATAGCAGAGTAATCGCCATTTTCATAAGCTCCAGTATTTTGAACACTGCTACCTGATCCTGGAAATCCATGACTTCCTACTCCAGATGGTCCAACGTTAGGTCCTGTTCCTCCTGCACTAAATCCGGGACCAGACGCATGAAATCCAGAACCACTTGGGCCTAAGGTACCATCATAGCCGCCTTGACCAAATTCTATCGTTCCAGGACGTCCTGAAGATTGACCAGGTTGTTCTGGATAATTTTGGCCTTGTTGTCCTTGATAATTTTGTCCAGGATAATTTTGCCCAGCTTGATTTTGGTAATGATGACCTTGATCATGTGTTGGTTGGCTGCCTGATGAAGGATATCCTGTAGAAGGACCGCTTGGCCCTTGTCCTGGGTATCCAGTTTGTGGCTGGTTTGTGGACCCGGGATAGCCCTGACTAGGACCAGACGGATAACCGGTTGGTCCAGATGGAATGCCAGGTGTTGACCCTGAACCAGGGTAATCATGTTGAGATCCAGGTGAATACGAAGGGGTAGTTGGACCGCCAGGATAGTTGTTAGACACTCCAGGGGAATACCCCGGGCGGTTTGGTGTAGTTCCTTGACCGAAAGGTTTTCCAGGCTTATTGTACTCGTATCCAGTTTGGGCGGCAGCTAAAGCCAGTACAACTGAAACACAAAACAAATATATTAATAAAAAATAGATACCATTTATCTATAGTCATATATAAAATTGTGTAGCAATAACGGCTATCCTAACAATCTTAACTTAAAATGCTTATTTGTCCAGGACGTCTTTTGGCTGATAACTAGAACTACAGTAGAAATAACGATGTTTACAAAAATCATTACCAAATCAATATCAACAATATAACGATTATAAATAAATATAAATATAGGACAACATCATAATCATTGCTCAGATTCCAAGATGAGCAGCTAAAGCCCCCGTATTATGGAGTGTCTGAGGCAACGAAGGTACTGCAACACCCAGACCTGAGACAATATAGAAAAGTTCATTTTCTACATTGACCTGTCCGGGAATCGAACCCGGAACCTCAGAGATGGCAACACATTGAAACCGGCATATAAACCACTCGGCTACGGAGATCCTCGAAATTATAAACATGTTAGAACAGACGACTGACTATGAGGTCACTTTTTACTTCTTTGAGGATATAACTAACTAAGTAAACGTATGTAATAAACAATTTTGGAATGAACATTATAAGTAAAGAAGAAATTACCCATAAAAATGGCTTACTTAATAGATCTAAAAAAATACTATGAGTATTATAAGACATTTTAATTAAAAATGGAAGTCAAATTATGATAGAGTGTATTCGGAATGATAATGAAAGAACACAGTTTTTTAATATTACAAATATCAATGTTCTTGAAGTAGGTGTATGTAAAGTATGTTAGCCTCTCCTGTTTCCCAAGATGCTACTAACAATAAAGTCAATAGGTATCAAGCGTAGAATGTAATAATATTCATATACATATAGTTAGGACAACACCATAATCATTGCGTGATAAATCCCTCAAAGAAATGAAAAGAAAAAAAAAAGAAATTTTAAATAACGAATTTCTAAATTTAAAAAACGAGTCTCGTCAAATTATTTCGCCTTCCATTAAATGTGTATTCGAGGGTAATCTATGATCTTAGCCCTTTCTCCGCAAATGTTTTTGTGGACACCCCAGGGCACAATAGACTGTACTACAACGAGTCAAGATGACATCGCGTGGGAGCGGCGATTAACACACCCGCATTTCGTAATGGCGCCCTAATAGGAAAATTGTTGTAATCCGACCTCTTACATCTGTTCTTTTGCAAACAACCCTTTACCTAACTAGAAACTAAAATATTTCTACAGCAATAATCCTAATAGGCCTTAATCACCAGCCCTTTTTACGTCCCCACTGCAGGGGCTCAGGCCTTCCTTATGGATGGTTAAGGAGGATGGGCCATGACCCTCCACGCTGGCCCAATGCGGATTGGAGGGTAATAGGCCTTAATAAGTATAATTAATTTTTTTTGTCTGTCGGTCAGAAATAAGTGTACACACGTATTTATATATACACGTATTTTATATCAAAATAATAATCGTATTGGTCATTGTTGATATATGGAAAAGAAATTGCAGTAATAGTATCGAAAATAATAGTATTTTAAGGATCGCAATGCATGGAATTAATAGCCTTCGCTTTGTTCTATAAAGACTAATTATATGTTCAACCTATGTCCTACAGACTTTGAAAGTTGTAATTATTATTGTGATAATACATATTATTTTGGTAATAACATGATTTATGTAAATGTCATTACTTATGATAAAAAGCTGGTAAATTTCTTTCGCTTGTTCTTCTTGTCAGCTAAAAGACGTCCTGAACAAGTGGTAGGGAAAAAACATTTTTTGGACGATTCAAAAGTGCTTGTAATAGCCTACTCGAATAAAGATATTTTCATTTCATTTCATTTAATTTCGAACCTCGGGTAGATATTACAAAAGTGGATTGTGGCCCTAGTGATAAATTTTTATCCATTAGAAAAATACAAAAAATAAAATCTTAGCTTTAGTGTATTCTTAGGACTTCGTTATCCGAAATATTCCGGCAACCGAACGATTACTTTACTCATTGAGCTGTCAAAGAATCCAGGAAGACTGTAAAATTTCTGTTTGTTTCATCATTAATGCTTTCAATTAGATAAATATCAGTATACACTCACGAGCAAAAGTTCGATTCACTCCTGCGCAACCACTTATGATTTATTTTATAAAAATCCTAGATAAAACCAAATTAATACTTAATGAATAAGCTTTAATGGATACTATTAATATTGAATAACATATGCCATTTAAACAATGTAGTATCATTTTATGTGGAAGATTAGATCGTGAGAGGAATCCATGAAGAACGAAATAGGTGCATCTTTAACCATTAAAACCTTTTTGTGACTTTAGATTTATTTCCTTAACTATTAGACTATTATTATGACTTTGGATTATTTTTTGTTATATCTTTAAAATAACTCCACAGCTCAATCACACTTTTCGATACATTCTCAATAAGATGGTAATGTATACATTGTATAAAATAAACTCGCTTCCCGCTGTCTGTACGCTGAGCTCTTTTAAACTACACTAGGGTTATAATGCGGTTTTCATCAATGTACAGAGTGATTCAAGAGGAAGGTTTGTATGTATAATACCGGACCACGCCGACGAAGCCGCTAGTCACTACATATTATACTCGTAACACAAAGTCGCTTTCTATGGTCCCTGTACGCCTATGTATGATTAAATCTTTAAAACTACGCAACGGATTTTGATGCTGTTTTTTTTTTCATAGATAGGGTGATTCGAAAGAAAGGTTTTTGTCAGTGCACTTTTGATTCAAATCGATAGACATCACAAAGATCGGGCCGTGTTCTCCCCGGGCGCCAGCAAGGACGCCAAAATTATATTAAAAATAAAAGTAATTAAATCATACAATGCGAAAATATGTAAGCCTGGGTGTGGGAGGGTGTTATTTCAAGTTTCTGGCCCCGCTCGGAAAAAGTTTTAGATTCGGGCCGTCAAACAGCAAGTTGCACAAACGCCTATTAAAATCTTCATTAGACACATTACCCATACAAATGTGACGTTCAATAGAGCTTAAAAGCTTAAACCTTAATGCACGTTTGTGCAACTGACAAAAAGACTTTAGATTTTGTATTTAATACTTGTCAGTGAAGGATGACATGTACGAGTATTAAAAACAAAATCTAGAGTTTTTACGTCAGCTATTATTGGCTCATAAGCAAACACATTTTGCTAAACGCTTGTGAGGCAATAATAGCTGACGTGACCATAATTTTCAGGAGTTTACTGCCTAATAGATGGAAACATTTCGTCACTGATATTACTCAAAACAATGCTGATCTATATATAATGTAGCAACAAACGACTGAGTTCCCCACATAGAGGACTTTGTGATGCGAGATAAGGTAAATTATAATAATTTTGCTTATAATGTGGGCTTAGCTTTAATTGCAAATAATATAAGTACACCACGGGAAGAAAGAAAAATATGTTCTACTCTATACTAATTTTATAAATTAAGAAAAGCTTTGATTGTTTGAATGTTTGCATTGAATAGGCTTTGCTACAAGTGGACCGATTTTAAAAATTCTTTCACCTACGGGTAACTAAAACATACATACATTGACTATAATTTACCAAGTCGCGGAAAAACAGATAGTTACTTTTAAAACAATGCTAGTACTATGATGAGTTTTTTAATGCATTAACAGTACAAGAGCTTCTGACAAAAATGTGCAAGAATTAATACTGTATGTGGGAGTAAGGGTATCATCCCTCAGTATCCAGTGAGGAGGTCACTTACTTAATTATTAACCCCTTACGGCGGTTTCAATTGAACCTCTAATGCTGCGACAGGCCTATTAGAACACCAAAACTGTGGCTTAATTCTCTAATTTCGTAATCTGTCGCAATTCCTTTCAAAAAGGTATTGGAACTGCGATAGCGATTTATAGAATGTTGTAACGTTTGAAGTCGTAAACGCTTTCAGAACAAATGACAATTTGTTTGATCTGGAAATATAATGAAAACTTAGAAATTTAAACTTATAGTAATAGGTATTTGCGTCCAACGCTAAGTTTAGCGAATATTTTAATTTTAGACAATTCCAATAAACGATATCGTTTATTCAGTATTTTCCAAAAAATTGTCGCACTCGCTATCAGATGTCAAATAGTTGTAAAGTGAAGTTAGTTAATATCTTTCAAATGTCAAATTAAAAAGGGAATGCGACAGATTTTAAAATTAGACAGTTAAACCACTGTTCTCGATACAATAAAAGATTCTATTGACGATACTTGTGCCTTCATAGAGGAGGTATTAAACTTAGACTGTATGATTATTCTATACTACGTCGAAATAGAAGGAATGCTCTTCTTGCTTTTCTTGTTCTGAAATCATCATAAGCCGCAATAAAATAGGCAACAAAACGGTTCATTTGTCGCGCGATACCGTGACGCTTCGTCACGAATTGGAACAATGGAATAAGGAAGCTCCAGATAAAGTTTCGTTAGAACAACTTCGCCTGTTATTCCCTGTGGTTACTTCTATCACTTTCCGTGAGGTATATTATGAAGACGCGTAAACTTGAAATTAAAACACTCGTATACTGTCGAGTAGAAATAAATATTGAGTAAAACACGGAAAGTAAGAACTTAAGCAAATATTTTTAACAAATAGACAAAAAATTTAATGAAGTAAGATCTCGTCAAGTTTTCTGGTTAAATCTAAAATAACGTCGAAATTAGAAAGCTACATGATATTTAAAACGATTGCGTCATAGCCAAAATGTGATTATACATTTTTTCGATGGAGAAAATTTAAAAAGTTACCTACCCCTATTTTTTAATTGCATCTCGCAATAATTATACTTTTTTCATAGGTAAAATTGATAAAAATGTGTTCTGTAGCTTGACTAAAACCGGGAGCTTTATGGAGAACTTTAACAATAATTGTAATGGTTTACGCGTAAGTAATTAATTAAAAATCGCTTTTGCCGCACAATTAATCATCCTCTCTCTTTGTCTACATTTTCATTGTTTCGTTGTATTCGTTTTGTTTTAGGTCACCTTAAGAATAAATTGTGGAAATTAAGCAACTTTTTCAAAGGCATTTCCCGGCTGCATTTGCAGTCGGTAACACCAACCGATCCGCACTGGGCCCGCGTTAGTAGGTTATAGCTGGTTTTCCCTATTTGATTACATATCTTTCCATAGAAAAGGCCTGTGCCCAGCAGCGGGGACATTAATAGGATGATGATGCAGGAGATTTACTTTGAATACGTTTCAATTAAGTTCTGCGCTCATCTAACAACATCTGAGTCAAGGAACATTCGGATCTGATACAACTTATAATAAAAATTTCCAGGAAATCTGCCTCAAAATTTCACATTTATTTATAAAACTTTAACATTTATAATATAGTAAGTGGATGAGTATTGGATATTTTTGTGGTCTCTGTCTATCCCTCCGGGAGAAAAGCGTGATTAATATACTGTATGCATATATACCGATTTAACACTTTTTCTAATATTACTTCGTGTTTGTAACAACTGTCTTATATCTAGTTGCAAACATTACGCAGACAAAGACGATTTATTTATTCCAAATATCATAATTTTCTAATGAAGGTATTTAATGTTGTCCCGAAATTTGGCGCAGATATGCT